GTGTGTGTGTGTGTGTGTGTGTGTGTGTAAGAACCTACTATCCCCAACAGCCATTCTGGTGACTTCTGACTGCTGACCTGCCTTGTGAATTTTAGTCTGAAACTTCGAGGAGAAAGAGTAACTAAAAGGGTAGGAGGAATGAAGTTGGTTATTAAGCAGGTTCCAGAAGGCCCTTTGAACCAGGTAGCCATCCAGGTGGTGGGATCATCAGTTCCTTTTTGTGACAGTAGGTACGTGGCAAGTGGGTTAAAAGTCACCTGTAGGCAAGGTAAGTGAAATCCAGGTTTCTTCACAAAGGACCAGAATATTACAGTGTAGAGCAGGAAGGAGCTCTGACCCCGGACCTCCCGACCCCTCTGATCGCCCCAGGACTCCTCCCCTTCAGTTACTGGAATTGTGGAACAAGCTTATTTGAACATTCAGAAATTATTAGAAGATAAATCTTTTGTAATCCAGAACAGATTCTGGAAGTTGGTGAGCTGCCACAGTTGCATTTTTTTTTCTTTTTGAAAAGAAAACCAGTATTTTATGTATGTTAATGTCTTATATCTATGCTTTTTATCCATTTTCTTTTTTAAAATTTTATTTTATTAAAAAAAATTTTACACCATAAACATAATTTTTTTTTAAACATCATTCTTCATTTCGTGCATTTTTCCAGCTCAATTGTAATCCCCATGGGCCTTCCGTCACCATAGTTGCATTTTTATGTATGAAGCGGCTACATTTTGTTTGGCTCCACTGGTAGGCATCGTTGACCTCACCCAATGGGAGTCTGCCCTAGGCTTCTGACATATCAGAATGTTAAGTTCCTGATGAAAATTGTCAGCCTTTTGCTGATCTTGCTTATCTCTTGACTTAAAACTTTAAGGAATGCAAGCAACTTGAAGAGATTGTTTTTGTGTTTTCCCTACCTGTTCTCAAATGCCTCTAGAGGAAGGTTTGTCCCTCTGCTGCAGGTGTAATTCCAGTGTTAGTAATTATTCACTCAACAAACTGAATGTCTGCTGACTAAGGACCATTGGCTATAACAATATAAACAAGAAGCCCATAGACTAGAATAGGAAGAACTAATTTCCTAGTGTAACTTCAACTGCTTGGTTATGTTTTCAGATAAAATACTTTTATCTTCTTTCTAATTATTCCTTTTTCTTACCAGCCACACCCAGGCATTCACTAAGTTTTGTCGATTTGATGGCACAGATGCATCTGGCATCTACACGTTTCCCTTCTCTTTTCTTTTACATTTGCCATGCTGGGTGTACCTCTCACCTAGAATTGCTGTGACCTCTCTACTGGTTTCTCCAGTTCTCTGGCCCCCTCATCTTACACCTCACAAGCCAGTCAAGTACCTGAAAGCGGTCATATCACTCCCCCCTTCAGTGACTTAGTTGATTGCAGCGCTAATAGGAATAACCTTCGTGGCAGCTGGCACGTTCCAGGCTTTCTTATGTTCCAGGCTGCTCAGTGCTTTGCAGCTATTGACTTACTCAACCCGCACATCAGCCCTCATGTAAGGTGCTATGACTGTCACCTTTTTACCTATATGGAAATGAGTACGTGAAAAGATGAAGCTGATTGTTTAAGGCAGGTGCCAGGACTCAGCTGGCTGGCTCTAGACTGTGCCTTGAACACGTGCCTGCACTACCTCTCTTAAAGAAGACAGATGCCAAATGCTGCCTGCCGAACTGGTTGTCTCCCAGGCCTCATCCACATCTCCTGTACTCTGTGCTACACAGACCATCCCACCTCCTCTACCTCCCCATTTGCTTTGTTGCTTTGCTGTTCTCCTACTGAGCCTGCTACCTGACACAGCCTGGCTGTACCTCTGAGAAAGCAGCAATCATAGGCACTCTGTTTGCAAAATGAACAGGTGAGTTATTCAGCCGAAGCTGCTGTGCATTATCAAGGACATGTGCTCAGAGTGAGATGGTGTGCTCCCTCGGGGCAGGTGAGGCGCTAACTCGTATATTTATTTCTGGATGGATAGTACTTGCTTACTAAGTGTATGGCATGTCAGAGTGTATGGCATGGAGTGAGCAGAAAACCAATGAGATCTCTGTCACAAGGAACGCCTCACCGTTTCTGATATCACAGAGTCATAGAAATCCTGAACATGGATGGACCTCAGAGATTCCCAGGGCAAGTTCCCCATTTAACAAAGTGGAGACTGACACAGAAAACAGTTCTATTGATAGGAAGGTGTAGGGGCAGAGCAGTAACCAGAGGTTCCTGTGCTAAGTCAGGTCTTCCTTTGCTGTGCTGTTCCTTGCCTTTATTTTCGGAGATGCTTTGCACTTAGTAGTCATGCAAAAGTATTCCAATCTGCCGTCATCTTAGAGCTCTTGTTCCTCATCTACTTGCTACCTCTTTCCAGTTGTAAATTCTCATGTTAGGTTTGAATTGGCCTTGCCTCAAAATGTGCACGATACAGATCCTGCTCATTTTCTATCATATGTTGGGGGGAGAGAGGAACAGGTTTCTTCCATCATCCTTTTACATCTTTTATTCTGCTTTCTTTTTTGTTTATTTGGCTAATTCTGCACCAGTCCATGAAAGTGTTCCCTTTGAATGCCTGATGGGGTTTGCACCTGTTTCTTCCATTTCTCTTTTCTTCCCCTTATCTCAGAGAACAGAGTTGCTACATAGGTCATCTGGCTCTGATCGGTGTCCTGCAGTTCGATTCTACTACTAACCACGGAACAGCCATGCAGCTCTCAGAAGCTAAAAGCACCCATCCAGAAGACTGCTCTCCCTTTTGACCAACTGGCTACAAATCTGAAGGATTTTTACAACTCTTTTCAAGTTCAGTAATTAGCTAGAAAGACTCACAGAACTGAAGAAAGTGCCTTGCATGTGATTAGTTGTATCATAAAGGTATAAATTAAAAATAACCAGATGGAGAGCCCCACCGGGTCAAGGACCTTCTCTTCCTGCTCCAATTGAAAACAGGACACAGCACCCTCCAGCACCCCCTTGGGTTTACCAGCCTGGGCAGGAGCTTCACCAGACTTTCCGAGGGTTCCATTACCTTATTGAACATAGGCTACTGAGCTTGGTCTCTGCCCACCCCCTTCGCCCCCCAGAGGTCAGGAGGTTGAGCTGGTATCATATGGCTCAAAGTCCTGATCAAAGCTTGGTCTTTTCAGTAATTTGCCCCAATCTGAGCCAGCCTTGAGCATAAATTTGGCCATGAACCCATGGGCTCCTGAATAGCAAAGAGACTCACTCCACTTAACTGTCAGATTCCAGGGGTTTTAGAAACTCTGTGCAAGGAACCAGAGATAAGACCAGTCAGATTCTTTATCATATAACAAGATACTCCTTGTGTAAAAAGAGCATAGCTGTTTCAGTTGGAATTGTACTTATATAACAAACACTGCAATAGTGTCAATGTAAGTATGTCTAACATTTGGAGGAATCAGTGCTGTGAAGAGTACATTTAAATAACCAGCTCATCTGCCCTATACTACCATTACATACATCTACATATGCTTAGATTATCTTGACCACTCTTTTCTGCCTTGATTTATTTGATCCCTTTTGTGCCTGTGATAGATCAATACTTATACAAAACAAGTTAGTGTAGAATTCAGCTGGTGACTAGCTAAACCCACCATTTCCATAGATAGTATATCCCGAGGAGGCCTTAACTCAGTTTCTCAATTTAATACATCTGATCATTAATATCCGAACAACCACTGGACTTATTTACATTAATGATTGAATCTTGCTAGCACTGGTGTTATATCATATCATGATATGGTCGTTGTACAATTTGATTTCATCACAGAACAAGTCAGTAAGGGTTGCAGAGACCTTCGCTGCATTGTCAAGACCCACCCCTTGCCCCTGTGCCAGGTGCTCTTGACAGGAACCATTGCAGCACTGGACTCTAAGTTAATTGTGGACAAAGCCCGTCAGGACTTCTGTGCTCACAGACTTGTGCTAAGACTGGTTTCCATTGGGTGTTAATAGGTAGCAAGACCCACGTCCCACTTATAAGAAGGTGAGTGTTATTGAGAATAGTTCCTGTCCCTACTCACCAATATGTGTGTCCTATTTCACTCTGGTTGGGGATGAGAGTAGTCCTGGGACATTGATGCAAATCACAAGTGTCCCTGAGAACTTATGTAAGTTTGGAGATTCCTGTGTGCCCCTGAATTTAGGGGTGGGACGCAGGACTGTTGCCTGCATTTGCTGAGGCCTGTGTCTGTGGAGAAGGCATAACAAATGCATCTGTACTAAAATATCCAGCAGCCCTGTTGGATGGGGGAACGAGCTCTTAGCTAGAGTCCATGCTGGGGCCTACTGTTATTCACCATTATTTGCTGCCTCACCTACTTAGCTACTGTGTTATTTTCGTTTCAGATTGACTCTTGTCCTTGGCCTTTCTCCTAGAAGAGAATTCCTTCTAAACTCTAGTTAGTAAATATTATCTTCAGAATAACACTTTTCATCAAAAGTGAATTCAGCTTGTTCCACCCTGTGCCTCAGACTGCACTATCTTCCC